AACCAATACATCAACTTCACCTTCACCTTAAGTTTACCATTGAATAACCAATACACCAACTTCACCTTCAGTTTACCATTGAATAACCAATACACCAACTTCACCTTCACCTTAAGTTTACCATTGAACAACCAATACACCAACTTCACCTTCACCTTAAGTTTACTATTGAATAACCAACTTCACCTTCACATTAAGTTTACCATTGAATAACCAATACACCAACTTCACCTTAAGTTTACCCTTGAATAACCAACTTCACCTCACCTGAAGTTTACCATTGAATAACCAATACACCAACTTCACCTTCACCTTAAGATTACCATTGAATAACCAATACACCAACTTCACCTTCACCTTAAGTTTACCATTGAACAACCAATACACCAACTTCACCTTCACCTTAAGTTTACCATTGAATAACCAATACACCAACTTCACCTTCACATTAAGTTTACCATTGAATAACCAATACACCAACTTCACCTTCACCTTAAGTTTACCCTTGAATAACCAACTTCACCTCAACTGAAGTTTACCATTGAATAACCAATACACCAACTTCACCTTCACCTTAAGTTTACCATTGAATAACCAATACACCAACTTCACCTTCACCTTCACGTTAAGTTTACCCTTGAATAACCAACTTCACCTTCACCTTAAGTTTACCCTTGAATAACCAACTTCACCTCACCTGAAGTTTATCCTTGAATAACCAATACACCAACTTCACCTTCACCTTAAGTTTACCATTGAATAACCAGTACACCAACTTCACCCTTGAATAACCAATACACCAACTTCACCTTCACCTTAAGTTTACCCTTGAATAACCAACTTCACCTCACCTGAAGTTTATCCTTGAATAACCAATACACCAACTTCACATTAAGTTTACCCTTGAATAACCAATACACAACTTCACCTTCACCTTAAGTTTACCCTTGAATAACCAACTTCACCTTCACCTGAAGTTTATCCTTGAATAACCAATACGTCAACTTCACCTTCACATGAAGTTTATCCTTGAATAAACAATACACCAACTTCACCTTCACCTTAAGTTTACCATTGAATAACCAATACACCAACTTCACCTTAAGTTTACCCTTGAATAACCAACTTCACCTCTCCTGTAGTTTATCCTTGAATAACCAACTTCACCTCACCTGAAGTTTACCATTGAATAACCAATACACCAACTTCACCTTCACCTTAAATTTACCCTTGAATAACCAACTTCACCTGAAGTTTATCCTTGAATAACCAATAAACCAACTTCACCTTCTAGATGTAATGTCCAACATTATCTATTTGAACTTTGATTCTGTACTATAAAACCCAGAGGGTTATGTACCATAAAATTGTAAAAACTGTACAGCCATAACCATAAGAATTTTACTGACTTATCAATAACCCCACATGATTTTAGAAAAAGCAATGAAATCTGAACATGTCCATCCATAAAAACAAACATATGGGTGATATGTTTAGTTTACCCGACATGTATAACTATATGATGGGTGATATGTTTAGTTTACCGTACATGTATAACTATATTATGGGTGATATGTTTAGTTTACCCTACATGTATAACTATATTATGGGTGATATGTTTAGTTTACCCTACATTTATAACTATATTATGGGTGATATGTTTAGTTTACCCTACATGTATAACTATATTATGGGTGATATGTTTAGTTTATACTACATGTATAACTATATTATGGGTGATATGTTTAGTTTACACTACATCCATAACTATATTATGGGTGATATGTTTAGTTTACTCTACATCCATAACTATATTATGGGTGATATGTTTAGTTTACCCTTACATGTATAACTATATTATGGGTGATATGTTTAGTTTACCCGACATGTATAACTATATTATGGGTGATATGTTTAGTTTATACTACATGTATAACTATATTATGGGTGATATGTTTAGTTTACACTAAATGTATAACTATATTATGGGTGATATGTTTAGTTTATACTATATCTATAACTATATTACAGGTGATATGTTTAGTTTATACTACATGTATAACTATATTATGGGCGATATGTTTAGTTTACACTACATCCATAACTATATTATACACGTAATATAAACTAAACATATCACCCATAACTATATTATGGGTGATATGTTTAGTTTACACTAAATGTATAACTATATTATGGGTGATATGTTTAGTTTACTCTACGTCCATAATATATTAGCAATAGAGGTCATAAGTTTGTCAAAGAAAGATCTAAACATTTGGATATTTGACACACCAGGATCTAAAACTATTTTTGTGAATTATGCTTTTGAATATCTGCCCCCTGGTGGCTTAGTGGTAAATTTAGATGCCCTTTTTATAATTGCAAACCTGCTTGACAAGTCGGTGGATAACACACAATTTTGTTTAGTAATCAACTGACAAAAACATTTACAGTGGGGAGGCCTGTAAGTTGTGAACGTATAAATGAACTGCAACAAAAGAAGATCCTAAAAACCAGTCAACAACATACCCATAGTAACACACAAAATCATGCCTTTAGGAAAAAATCCTGTATAAAACCCAATGGTTACAGATAAGCACTAAAAAAAACATTACAAGTTTAATTGTTCAAGTACATAATTATACTACAGTGTAATTAAAAATGTGTATTTTAACCAAAATTGTGTTCTACATAATATTGATTACTTGAGCAGATTTTTGCAGTTTTATGTCTATTGTAATAAAGAAATTTATTTCACTTTATCGTATCTACTAAAAAAAAGGATATCACATCTGTACAAAGTGGACATACGTTTATGATATCATGACTATAGGAATGATCCTACTGGCTTATTACTGATATATATATATAGGGACTGGGATTACAAATACCAATTATCTTATTGTAAACACATAGTTTTAATAATAGTCTCTAGCCCATTCTCTTGTATTTACAAATAGTTTTGTTCCTATTATTCTGTTTAATTTTGTTATGTTACCTAAGTGATTGTTGTTGTGCATGTGATCAATTGTGTCTGACGTAGGCTTCAGATCGAAATGTAACACCCATTAAAAACATTTTTTTAAGGGTGAGAGAGTGCCGAGTGAGTTTTTGGAAAAATTGTAAAGGTCATCTAATGACCCTCCACCCTGACTCCGTAAACCGACGATACTCAAACCAGTCGCTCTTATTTTCATCATTCTTCCTCCAGTGATGATGACAATGAACCCAATCTCTCCATACATCCAAGACCTCCCTTCAGTCATCTCCTGACCAACATCAGAATCCAGTGGTGATTGTAAATCCTGCTGAACTGTCCTTCCTTCTCATGTTGTTAAAATCTTCCAAGACTCGAGCACTGGCCAGGTGGAATTTTTAGTGGCTAGACAGATTTTAATCCTAAATTACTGCCCAAACTTTGCTTTGCTAGATAGCACAGTGACGCAGTCCGTGTGTTTTCATAAATATATGGATCTCTGTTAGCTATTGTAAATACAGTTACTTTGTACAAGTAAGTTGATTCTTTACAGTGGTACTTGTAGGACACATTTATAAACAATGCTAACTGCACTACACTAAAAGTGTTTAGTGTAGTGCAGTTAGCGTTGTTTATAAATGTGTCCTACAAGTACCACAATGTTTAGTGTAATGCAGTTAGCGTTATTTATAAATGTGTCCTACAAGTACCACAATGTTTACTGTAGTGCAGTTAGCATTGTTTATAAATGTGTCCTACAAGTACCACAATGTTTAGTGTAGTGCAGTTAACATTGTTTATAAATGTGTCCTACAAGTACCACAATGTTTAGTGTAGTGCAGTTAGCGTTGTTTATAAATGTGTCCTACAAGTACCACAATGTTTAGTGTAGTGCAGTTAGTATTGTTTATAAATGTGTCTTACAAGTACCACAATGTATAGTGCTGTGCAGTTAGCAGTGTTTATAAATGTGTCCTTCAATGTTTAGTGTAGTGCAGTTAGCATTGTTTATAAATGTGTTCTACAAGTATCACAATGTTTAGTGTAGTGCAGTTAGCATTGTTTATAAATGTGTCCTACAAGTATCACAATGTTTAGTGTAGTGCAGTTAGCATTGTTTATAAATGTGTCCTTCAATGTTTAGTGTAGTGCAGTTAGCATTGTTTATAAATGTGTCCTACAAGTATCACAATGGTTAGTGTAGTGCAGTTAGCATTGTTTATAAATGTTTCCTACAAGTACCACAATGTTTAGGCTTCCAGAAACATTAGAAGAGGTAACAGCATAACTTGTGATTGTCTGTGTGGACTGGATGTTGAATTATTTCTAATCAGTTAATTTAAGAGAACCCACCAACAAAAAAAACAATGTTACAACACTTTCATAATGCAATATTATATTTTGCATACACATCCAAACGTGTTGGTCATTTTAAAATTAGTTTTTGGGAAATCTATTACCATTTACACTTTCAATTCATACTTTCTTCTGAGGTATTTATGTTGTAATAAAAATATTCAATGTATATAATCCCGTGAAAGGTTTTACTCCACACTGTTATTTTAAAATACATATAATTAACATGAAATATTTTATTAATTCAACTTATTTCACCACTTTTTCCTGAAAGTTGTGATTTTGTGAGCTTGTACAGTAAATTCCTTTTGAGAAATGATGATAAAAACTCCATGCTTGAACAACTTGTACCAAAATGTTTTTTAGTTAAAAAATTGAGAGATATTACAAGTTAATGTTGCACAAAATATAAATTATATAATTAATGATATTTTTTTCTATACAACTGATGAAGTCAGTTGCTTCGACCATAAGATCAGATCTTGTGAGATTTCAAGTTAACAGATAAAAAAGGATTTTTTAAGTTACTGTTTAATTCATTACACAGCTGTTCACATTTCTGTGAAACCTAACAAAATTCCTAGGTCTGATATAAAAATCTTAATTAATTCCATTATTTGAATATATCAAAATCATGAATACACCATGCTCAATACCTCAGAAATAACATAAAACTAATTTTTTATTTTGTCAAAATACAGCACATTTCAGCTGAAACCAATAAAAACATTTCTTGTGTAAAACAATAACAAATTATTATGATAATATTTAATAACACAATTGAAAAACACAAGAACTCTCTTTGTTAACCACAGAGTACACAAGCCACAGTTATCTACTACATGCTGCAACATGAAAAATGTAGGTCAGATCCAGAGTTTATACAACCAGCAACCAACAAACACTTCCAAGTTCAAATGTGGACTTTTTCGAAACTGGTATAAAAAATGATTCCAAAGTTATTAATTATGAAGTAGTAAACATACTGAAATTTTTCACAATATAAATTAGTAGAATTTGCCTAAAACTTTACAAAAGAAGTCTGGACCCATGAAGAAAAATACATTTATTATTCAAATTCCATGCCATTAACATATCAATTCCTGGTATACTGTGACATCAGGGTATTTCCTTTCCTGAAATATGTACAACTGACATTGGAAATGAGTTGAAAGAAAATAATTACTATTTTCCCTATGGGTCCAGATTTCTGGGGCACCCTGTATTAACTATATGGGTCCAGACTTCTAGGACATCTTGTATTTTCCCTATGGATCTAGACTTCGGGGACATCCTGTATTTTTCAAGATTATTAAAACCTAAATTTGAATACTTCCCTCTTACCAACATAATAATCATTTACACAATTGGTCCCATACAGAACTGTTAACAGTTGACAGGTAACTACAGAACTGTTAACAGTTGACAGGTAACTACAGAACTGTTAACAGTTGACAGGTAACTACAGAAATGTTAACACTTGACACATAACTACAGAACTGTTAACAATTGACACATAACTATAGAACTGTTGACAGTTGACAGTTAACTACAGAACTTTTGACAGTTGACAGGTAACTACAGAACTGTTAACAGTTGACAGGTAACTACAGAACTGTTAACAGTTGACAGGTAACTACAGAAATGTTAACACTTGACACATAACTACAGAACTGTTAACAATTGACACATAACTATAGAACTGTTGACAGTTGACAGTTAACTACAGAACTTTTAACAGTTGACAGTTAACTACAGAACTTTTAACAGTTGACACATAACTACAGAACTGTTAACAATTGACACATAACTATAGAACTGTTGACAGTTAACTACAGAGCTGTTAACAGTTGACACAGAATTATAGAACTGTTGACAGTTAACTACAGAACTGTTAACAGTTGACTACAGAACTGTTAACAGTTGACATGTAATTACAGAACTGTTAACAGTTGCCATGTAATTACAGAACTGTTACCAGTTGCCATGTAATTACAGAACTGTTACCAGTTGCCATGTAACTACAGAACTGTCAACAGTTGACATGTAATTACAGAACTGTTAACAGTTGCCATGTAATTACAGAACTGTTAACAGTTGCCATGTAATTACAGAACTGTTAACAGTTGACATGTAACTACAGAACTGTCAACAGTTGACATGTAACAATAGAACTGTTAACAACTGCCTTGTAATTACAGAACTGTTAACAACTGCCATGTAATTACAGAACTGTCAACAGTTGACATGTAACAATAGAACTGTTAACAGTTGCCATGTAATTACAGAACTGTTAACAACTGCCATGTAATTACAGAACTGTTAGCAGCAGCCATGTAACTACAGAACTGTTACCAGTTGCCATGTAATTACAGAACTGTTACCAGCAGCCATGTAACTACAGAACTGTTAACAACTGCCATGTAATTACAGAACTGTTAGCAGCAGCCATGTAACTACAGAACTGTTAACAGTTGCCATGTAATTACAGAACTGTTACCAGCAACCATGTAACTACAAAACTGATACCAGCAGCCATGTAACTACAGAATTGTTAATAGCTGTCATGTAATTATGTCAACACATAATAATTAGCTCCTTTTGGATGCACTATTACCAGTTTTCATGCTGTAGCCATTAGTTACAGGTTATATTACATTATTGTCACTTCAAGAGTTAGACATATTACTAAGTTTTCAGTTTTCATGCTGTAGCCATTAGTTACAGGTTATATAACATTATTGTCACTTCTAGAGTTAGACATATTACTAAGTTTTCAGTTTTCATGCTGTAGCCATTAGTTACAGGTTATATTACATTATTGTCACTTCTAGAGTTAGACATATTACTAAGTTTTCAGTTTTCATGCTGTAGCCATTAGTTACAGGTTATATTACATTATTGTCACTTCTAGAGTTAGACATATTACTAAGTTTTCAGTTTTCATGCTGTAGCCATTAGTTAACTTATATTAGATTACCAGGTTTTAAAGATAAAAAGCTGCCAAAATAACAATTTCCCAATCTCTTTATATAAGAACTGGTTATCATTTAGAAAAAGATGTGGATCACAGTTTGCTGGTGTATTGTCCATAAAATCATTTGCTTAAAAATGTTTTTCACTGAATTCCAGGTCACATTATCCCAACTGCCTAATATCTGGTTTAATATACCTTAATATTACACACAGGCACTCACCTCACCACATTGTAGTCTTGGTGGTGAAAACTTTATGACAAAAATTACAACCAAGTAAAGAGTCAAGCTTTCCACACATCTATACAACTAACAATACTCTTTGACTGTTAATATCATACAGACAATAAATCACACAGAATGATAAACAATGAATATTTACAATATACAAAATTGTGATATTCTATGACAATATGAAAACGTTTTGTAAAACAATAATTCCATTCTGAAAGTTGAGTCGTTCTATGGTGAGTATGGCTTCAAAAACACCTGGAACACTTCATTGGTTTGGTCTGTTGTGAAAACAATGAAAGTAACTAAGTATACGAGAATTATTTCAAATGAATACATAAAACACACATCTATGTTTGTACTGTTTTGTCTGAAAAACAAACAGAAATAAGCTTTTAAAGTTAAAGCAATAAAGAAAAGTCTAAAGAGGAGCAGCTGGTTTCTATAAAGAAGTAATAGTATTGATTTCATGGAACCAAACATCATATGGAATGCTACACAAACTAGATACACCACAGTTAAAAACTAACATTTCTAGACAAGAACAAAAAAACAATTTTACCTAGAGTTTGACTGATGACAAACATTGCTTCATCCTGCATGTTTTCGATTACCTAGAGAATAAAGAATAGACTCTTCTTACAGTATGGCAAACACTTGAGGCAGGTTTTGTTGTGAACTGTCAGCAACAAAGACAAGGTAGCATTAGTCCACAAAAAAACCTCCCTCTGAGAGTTTTATGTAATACACTTTTTTAAGATACTATTTATAATTTAAATGTGTAGAGAATTAAGATGTTTTCAGTTCCTTAGAATGATCAATACATAGGTGAAAACAGTACAGAAACTTCAGGGTGTCTATAATACATAGGTGCCTAGAAACCTTGTATATTATATAGCTGTGCATGATGCCTCGAGCATGGAAAGTGACAAGTTAATGGTTAATAAACATATCAACATTCAGAATTGTAGAAGTAAAGGCGTGCTTAGAAAATGACATGAAATAAACTGAAATATTATGAAGAATAGAACTTTTAATATAGAAAACCCCCTTTTACTGCCACTGTACAGTATTATACCAAATCTGAACAGACAAAAATTCAACAATCCATCATAATGGCCATTGGATATTGTAAAATATAAGTTTGACATTGTTTTTCATAAATTAATGAAATAAAACCAATACATAACACACTTATATACTATACCATTACACAGAATGTCTGTCAATATTAATAAAACTTACACCAAAAGATAGTATAAAATCTTGAAATTTCCATTATAATTTTATTTTGGAGAAAATGTGTGGAGGTATATTTACTCCGAACATCCAGGTTGGAAAGGGTTAACATAAGTAACAGGATGTTTATAAAGATGACCGTATAGCTATGAAAGTAAGATAGAAGCTGGCTCACCTCGTCTGTCACTAAAACTTTGATACCAGATGGTCCACAAACACACAGTGAAATATGAGTCTGAAGAGGCAGAGAAAAGATGTTGCTCAGTTGTAATACTAAATTCTTTACTGTCAAGCTTTCCAGAAAAACAGCTCGAAACACTAGAAAAGAAATTAGAAACAATATAACAACATTTTGGGACAACATGGGACCTATTGGTCCATCTCGGCTATTTCATCTTCTAAACTAAACTAAAACTATTAATAAATAAATTTAAAAAAATCTTAAAGGCAGCCTTTATCATTCATATATTTATCAAGCCTTCTGTTAAACTCACTTAAATTTACAGCTTCTACAACATCAGAAGACAACCCTTTCCAAAGGCCAACAACCTTGTTAGAAAAAAACTGTCTTAGTTGAAGATTACTTCTACCCTGCCAAATTTTATGTGTTCCATAGTTCTACTATTTTCACTATTAATTAACACTACCATTCCCTTCAATCTTAAACACCTCAATCAGATCCCTTCTAACTCTTCTTTTTTCAAGAGAAAACAATTTGAGAGATTTTAACCTTTCCTTGTATGACAACCCCCTCCATCCCAGGTACCATTCTAGTAACCGTTCTCTGAACCCTTTCAAAAAATTCAATGTCTTTTCTAAGCCTAAGACTTAACTCAGTACTTTAAATGTGACCTATATAATGAAATTATATCCTCTTTAGACTTCTATTCAATATTTCTGTAGATACAACCTAAAATCCTACTCGCCTTACCACTAGCAACAGCACACTGTTTGAATGGCTTTAGAGACTGATCAACTGTTACATCAAGATACCTTTCTTTCATGACACTGTTAAGGTTATTCTCATCCAAATTATACTTATAATTCAAATTATGATAACCC